AGGGGAGGGAAGCATTAACTTAAGCTGATATAGCCCACCCAACGAGTGAAGCACCTACTCACGGAGTAACCCAGGACCACGGGGAGTGAGGATTTTGTTCCTGGCTCTGGCTGGAGCAGAGCACAGCAGCCCCGTGGGATGCCTGTGGGAACCTCCAACTCCAGGATATCAGAAACCGAGCTTTGGCCACTTCACCACAAAGACCACCCCCATCCATCTCTCAGGCAGCAGCACAGCTACGGCACATTTCACCACCAGAGAGCTCAGAGACCGACAGTGGTGTCGTCCAGACTGGGAGCACCTAATTCACACCCTTTGGCCAACCCTCAGAAAGGAGCTGCAGCCTCTGCTATTTATGAGAGCACACAGGTGTCACATCCAGGTGACAAACAGCCCAGCTCCTGTGCAGCACACAGACTGTGAGAAGTCTCAACTCAGGTTTGTGACACACTCGTGTTCGGGAGCTCCAAAGTGGGTGAAATGCACAGGGAGCCCCCAGCAGCACGGTCCGACTGTCAGCCTGAAATGAGATTACTCAGATTGGAGAACAGGAATCACTACTAAAGGTACCTGCTTATCATCGTGTATTGGTTCTTTCACCTTCTAGAAGGAAATTTGTTTTTAATAAGTTTTCTCTCTACACTGTTACGTCTATTCCTTAACATACAGAACAGGTTCAAAAACCATTATGTTTTATCAATCTAGAGATGTCAAATGCTTTTTTTTTTTAAAAAAAAAAAGAGAGCAGATTAAGTGATCACAGGGCAGAAATTCAGCACAAGTCACTACCAGGGTACTCTTTCCCCCAGGGCACATCCCCTCATTTCCAGCGGTGACAACTGCCATGGGTTAAGGCTACAAGACTTGTTCCATACGACTTGTGGCTTATAAACTGATCACAGATACTGGGCTTCTCCTCACTTCCTTCATTTCCTCAAAATAACGGAGAAGGAGCCATTATTTCACAGTGGCCACTTCCTTCCCCAGGTCCACGTCTTTATCTGATTCCATTGTTAGATCCCGTTGACACGAGCCAAAAGGCACAAGGTCCCCATCTCAAAGTGCCCAATCGCTTCCCCATGCTCCAAAATGGACAAGTGTTGGATTTCTGAACCCAGCCACGCATCAGAACAAAATGTAATTGATACTTAACCAGTAACATTAAAATCTAACTGGGTTTTAAGACACTTTGTCCTCTTGCAATAATTTCTTAAAAAGATAAGGTTAAATTATTGAAGCTCATGGCATCGCATCACATGCACAAGCAAAGCGGGTGCATTAAAAACAGAACACCTTATGAGATACCAGAGGTCTTGCTGGATTATTTGTTTAAAGAACCCAAATATACATTATGTACTTAAAGAAATACTGATAATGAAGTGTGCTTGGAGCAAAGAATTCCACGTAAGCTAATTCAAGCCCAAGGAGAAAGTCCCATCTTTAAAAAAAATACAGCAGCTGAAGAAAAAAAGCAATTTTAAACAGTGTGTTTGTTACTTAACTTCAGGCAATAATCAATGAAATATAAATATGACTCTAGGTGAATTTCTACCACAAAATGAATGAGTTTCTATTCACTTTGCTTCCACCCCATCCGATACGTAACATCCAACATGACTCACAAATCAATTCAAATATTTACATTCCACCATTACAGCTTGGAGAGATAATAAACTCCATGCCTATATTTAAACAAAAGCAGGCTCCCGTTTCCACAAGCTGTTACAGGGGAGCAGCACCCTGGGGTTTGCACGGGTTCCTCAGAATGGTCAGAGACCCCCTTTCCCACACCTGCACCAGCCATCACTAAGCACCAGGGCTCTCAAAACCCCTGTGCCAGATACCTATGTACTACTCCTGGGTTTGAGTTGCACCTTTATCCAGGTACCGGATAGAAAACTGGGAAGGAGAAGCAAACCACACCATCTGGAAGTTGCAGCCACCCTCTCCTGCCCCACCATTACACTGCACTATTCAATATTCTGCCTTGCTCCAAGCCAAAGAAACACAGAAGAATACAACAATAATGAGAATTTCATGCAAAATCTAATAAACCCACATTAAGAGTGTGAAAAGCTTATGGAAAATGCATGTGAAGAAGCAGTATTTCCAATAAGTACTCAGCTAAAGCGACATTAAGAACTCCAAGACAAAAACCTGTAGAGCCAAAAGGTGTTAAAGTGCTTTTACTGTAGACGCACAGCATCTGGGCTGAGCAGCGCTCCATCCCCAGGTGTACTGATGGCCCTGCTGTGACACTGCCTGCTCGGGTCTGTTATCTCCTGGAGAATGCATGCCTGTAAGCTTCATTACACTCATCCTCATTCATTCAGAAAAGTACAAATCCCCAAACTAAGCAGGGAGAGGGTCGGGCAGGAACGGCAGAGCCAGGCTGGCTCTCGGGGCTCCAGCTCACAAACCAAGGGGGAAGCAGCCTCTCGTGCCCGTGGGGAAAACCAAGGGGGTAAAAATCATCCCAGTGAGTCTCCAGTACACACGGTATAAATTATCTTTACCCTCTTTCTGGAGAGGTTTCACAGCAAACAGGCAGGCCCACGGAAGCGATGGAGACGGCCTGTGTGCAGCGATGCCTGTGGGATCCGGGTGGTTAAAAGAGCCCGACTGAACTCCCCAGTTCCCACCCTGCACTCCGTGCCCCGGGGACAAGCACACACGTTATGAATGCTATACAGTCCTGTGTACGTGAGCAGACCTTACAGCGTTTTACAAATGAAGCCAGTGATGAATGTCTGTTTTGCAGGTGGTGAAACTACAACAGCAACTCGCCCAAACCCACCCCAGCAGGACAGCAGCAGAAACAGGAATAAAATTTGGGACTATTGAGGGCCTGCACAGTGCATTATCCACGGGCAAAGCACCACAGGACTTTACAAACGGAGCCTCGCTGCACACTGCTTGGCGGAAGGCCGTCTTCTGCAACAGTTAGACAGATTTTAAACTGCTAGAGATTTCCCACGCATGCCCATACCAGAAGGTGTACCCAACTCAAGAAACAAGTAAAGAAGCTATAGATCTAATCTCTGTGATCTGCAAAGATTCAGGCCCAAAGTTTGTATGGAGCAGCTGACAAGTGGGCTCCCACTGCAGACCCCGAGAGGCGCAGGACAGTCTGCCCACAGCCAGCCAGAGACTGAGATGCAAATGCTACATTTGTTTAGAGTAACCAAGCAGAAATGTAAGAAAAGGTCTCAAATAAAGTACTTCCGCGTTTCTTCAGTTCACTACAAGCTTTCACTGAAAGCCTTGGTCCATCTGCTGACTCTACGGCCCCTGGGGAGCAGTTCAAATAAAGCCACATGCGAATTTCCACTCGAGGCTTCAGTTCTGAGAAGCTGCCGGGCGGTTCCAGCGCCAGCAGCGGGGGCAGAGGGGCAGTGGGGAGGCTGCGGCTGCGGTTTCGAGCTCCAAACACACTCCTGCAACTCGGATAAGCTGCTCTCTGGCCTGGCTTTACTCTAGATACCAATCAGTCCCACTACTGACAGTTACACCAGGGTGTAAAACATGCAGCTGAAATAAAACCGAAGGCACGAATTCGAGGACAAAACTTGCATAAAGAGAAGTGAGCTCTTCACATGAGATTTCTCCTCGCTGCTCCCCCCAGGTCAGCACAGGTACCTCTGGGCACCTTTGGCGTGGGGTGTAACACCCCCACAGTGCTGCCCTGTGCCCGGCGCCTTCTGTCCCTGCCGACACTTCACTCTGGAGGGTTTTAGCCCAGAAATCCCTACAGAACCACCAGCGGAGTGGCAGGCAGGGCACCGCACAACTTCGGGGAATTGTCTGGGAAGTGCTGCCGGGAGAGCCCCCTCCCCGGGGCCATCGCCAGCGCCACGGCGGCTGCTGCAGCTCCCGGCGCTCGGGGCGTTCAGTGACCCCCGGTAACGGCGGCCGGCGGCGCTCAGCGCTGCGCTGGTGCCCGCACAGCCCGGCCGGAGGGGTCCCCGCACGACACCGGGCCCGGCGACCCCCCGCTCCCCAGCGCGGAGCCCCCGCCCGGCGGAACAGGCGGCTCCCCCCGCCCGGCGCGGCCCCCGCCCTTCAGCCATCTTCTGGGGCCGAGCCCGCTCGCCACGCCGGCCCCAC